GGGCTGATCCACTAAGCATGGAGATCGAGCGTCCTGCGCCCTTCGATAGGCTCGGGGCAGGAAGCGGGAGCCGGAATCGGGGCCGGGAGGAGAGAAGGGAGGGTCGGGTCTAAGACTGATCCTGGATTGCGGATGCGCGAGGTGAGGGTCTCTCACCCGGCCCCGCCGCTGGGCTCCTCCCTTCCCTTTCAGCCTGAACCCCGATCTGGCCAGTGGCACCCCGGCCTCTCCGCTTCTTTCCTACCCACCAACCTCCCGATGCCACTCCTCACCCGGCTCCAGATCCAGGCTCGACTTCGTTCCTAACGTCAAGGCTCCCAGGCTCCACTTCCGGTTCCGAGGGGGCTGTCTTGTCGGCCCCGGAAGTTCCGCCCACACGCTCCAGGGCCCGTCCCCTCCTTCTGCCACGTCTACAGTGGGCACGCGCCCAGGAACCCGGATGCCGCGCATGCGTCACTTTCTTTTCCCATCAGAGCCGCCTCTTGGGAGGGTCCGCAGATTCTTATACATTTGCGCTTTTTTTTTTTTTTTTTTTTAAATCCACCCAGATTTCCCGGTCGCTTTATGCTCTCACCAGCTGAGAAGCGATTGGGAAGACTAGGTCAAACTATCTTCAGTAACAACCCTCAATTGCCTATGACATGTTAGTGATCTCTGACCGAGAGTCCCGTCGCCACTTCCTGCTGACCTTTGACCCCACTGATTTCCGCGTTCCATGTTGTTCTCACCCATGACCTTTGCTGGACTTAACGTGTTCGAGTTCTGGCTCTGCAATTCGCTATCTTGGGCAACTTAATCTCTGCCTCAGTTTCTTTCATCTGTAAAGTGGAGAGGATATTAAATGCCCTTCTAAGAGCTTGTGCCCTTCTTATAGTCCCGTACATTGCCAGGCACCATAGTGAGCACCAGTGAAAGTTACCCACTTTTATTCAGCTCCTTGGTTTAGATGCAGAGCTATGTGAAAGGGAGATGGTCTCTGCTCTCAGAATGCCCCCAGCATTTGGAAGAGCTACAGTTTCTAGAGCAATTATTACCTCTAAAGAGTAACACTAATTGTAGCTAATATTGGTACAATTTTTTAAAATATACATGACCTCATTTAACCCTTTCGATATTTATTCATTTAATAATTGTCTTTGAGCACTGCTGTGTGCCAAGCCATGTTCTTGGTTCTGGGAACGCAGTAGTGCACAAAAGTTCTTCTCTCATATTGTTGACGGTAAATGTTAGTTATTCTGAGGCACAGAGTGGTTCATACATTGAAAAAATTACACTTGTAGTCTGTGCTGGAAGCTGAATTGGTCATGAGCATGCTTTATTTAGTAAATGAGCAGATTGTTCTTGTCCTCAGGAGTTTACAGTCCAGGTCAGGGGTTCTCAAAGTGTGATCCTGGATCAACAATGTCAGTGTCACCTGAGAACCTGTTAGAAATACAAATCTCAGAAATAAAAATCTGATTCAAATACATTGAATCAGAAATTCTGGTGGTGGGCTCAGCAAGCTATGGTTTCACAGGCCCTCCTGACGATTCCTTTCATACACTGAAGATTGAGACCCATCAGTCTAGGACTAGTCTAGGTCAAATAATATTTTCATATATTCATATATATATTTACATTGATAAATTATTTCCTTATACAATCATCTAATTCTATATGCTATCTTATTTTAAGGAACTAGTAGCTTTAAGAGTTTTCCAGGTGATTCCAATGCACACTGAGGATTGAATGAAAGCCACAATGTATGGCACAATGACTTACATGTAGCTAACACTTAATAAATGTTTAAATAGTGAATGAATGGATATTTAGATACTCTTCCTACTGATGAGGTCAAGTAACTGTCCAAGGTCACTTAGCTAATAAATGATGGAATGAGAATCCAAGTCCAGGTCTGATTCTGTATCCCAGGTGTTTTCTATGACTACATACACCAAGGCAAACAGCATTTGGCACACTAGCAGAACAGCTATTCCAGGAAATGCTTTAGCTTTTGATAATTACAGCACCATAATGTTATGTTTTATAACAGAGATCTCTTAACATAGGACACATTCATGTAATGGAAACCTAAAAATAAGTAGGGATTTTATTATTAACACTAGAGGCCCAGTGCACAAAAATTTGTGCACTCGGTGGGGGGATCCCTCAGCCTGGCCTGTGACCTCTCGAAGTCTGGGACCCCTCAGGGGATGTCCACCTGCTGGCTTAGGCCCGCTCCCCGGGGGATCGGGCCTAAGCTGGCAGTCAGACATCCCTCTGGCAGCCCGGAGCCCTCAGGGGATGTCCACTTGCCAGTGGGGAGCAGGCCTAAGCTGCAGTCAGACATCCTTAGCGCTGCAGTGTGTGTGGTCAGTGTGTGTCATAGAGCCTCTCCCGCCTCCACCGCTGTGCTGGCAGCCGTCAGCCTGGCTTGTGGCTCAGCAGAGCTCACCCTGTAGGAGCACACTGACCGCCAAGGGGCAGCTCCTGCATTGAGTATCTGCCCCCTGGTGGTCAGTGTGTGTCATAGTGACCAGTCATTCCCAGTGTTTCTGCTGTTAGGGTCAATTTGCATATTATCCTTTTATTATATAGGATAGAGGCCTGGTGCACGGGTGGGGGCCAGCTGGTTTGCCCTGAAGGGTGTCCCAGATCAGGGTGGGGGGTCCCACTGGGGTGCCTGGCCAGACTGGGTGAGGGGCTGAGGGCCGTTTTTAGGCTGCCCACAGCCCCTTCAGGGGGGATGAGTCCCGCTGGGGGGCCTGGCCAGCCTAGGTGAGGGGCTGATGGCTGTTTTCAGGCTGCCACACCCCCCGGCGACCCAAGCTCACAGCCTCTCTTTTCTTTTTTCTTCTTTTTTTCTGGGATTTATTTATCTTCTATAATTGAAACTTTGTAGCCTTGAGCAGAGCTGAGGGCCGGCCAGGGCAGGTGGGAAACTTGGCTTCCTCCATCGCCGGGGACAACCCAAGCCTCCTGCTCGCTCCACTCCCTGGCCGCCGCCATCTTAGTTGAGTTAATTTGCATAATTGCTCCTGATTGGCTGGTGGGCATGGCTTGAGCGTAGCAGAGGGATGGTTAATTTGCATATTTCTCTTTTATTATATAGGACTAGAGTCCCAGTGCACAAATTCGTGCATGGGTGGGGTCCCTCAGCCTGGCTGACAATCAGGGCCAATTGGGGCAGCGGAAGGTTGGCTGTGGGAGCACACTGACCACCACCAGCGGCAGCTCCTGCATTAGCATATGCCCCCTGGTGGTCAGTGTGCATCATAGCAACCAGTCGACAGTCATTCGGTCACTTAGGCTTTTATATAGAGAGACTAGAGGCTCGGTGCATGAAATTCATGCATGATAGGGGGTCCCTCAGCCCGACCGGCACCCTCTCCAATCTGGGACCCCTCAGGGGATGTCCGACTGCCTCTCGCAATCTGGGACTGCTGGCTCCTAACTGCTCACCTGCCTGCCTGCCTGATTGCCCATAACCCCTCTGCCTGCATGATTGCCCCTAACCACCTCTGCCTACCTGCCTGATTGCCCCTAACAGCTCCCCTACCGACCTGATTGCCCCTAACAGCTCCCCTGCTGGCCTGATCGCCCCTAACCCCTCTGCCTCACCCCACACCTGGGACCCAGGATTCCCTCCTCTGGCGGGTCACAGGCACCTGGGACCTGGGCTTCCCTCCCTCTGGCCAGCTGCAGGCACCCAGGACCTGGGCCGGCTCTCCCGGGCTGCAGCCCCAGCTGCTGGCGCCTGGGACTGCGGGGTGGGCGGCTTGTCCCTCTCCCAGGCTGCAGCCTGGCTGGTCCCCATTCCTCTCTCGTGAGCTCATTTGTGCCTGGCTGGTCCCCATTCCTCTCTCCCCAGTGTTGAGTGTCTGAGCTGTTACAGGGTGATGGCATGAGGGTGTGATGACCATTTGCATATTAGCTCTTTATTATATAGGATAGGTTGGCATATTTATGCACACCTATTTGTATTCACCTGTCCATGACTACCTTATTATAACAGGTAATTTAATTTAGAAACATTTATTTTTTAATATATTTTTATTGATTTCAGAGAGGGAGAGAGATAGAAACATCAATGATGAGAGAGAATCATTGATCAGCTGCCTCCTGCATGCCCCACACGGGATCAAGCCCTTTATCCAGGCATGTGCCCTGACCGGGAATTGAACCCTGACTTCCTGGTTTTTAGGTCGATGCTCAACCACTGAGCCACACTGGCTGGGCTAGCAAAGATTTATTGAGCACTATTTATATCCGTCATTGTTCTGTGGGCTGTTAATTGGCTGTTGCACACAAGTTTCTCATAATCTAAGAGGGAGACAGGCAGATAGACAAACTGTAATAGTGGCTGAAAAATACAACAACAGAAATATATTGATACATCTGTTGCCCAGAGGAAGAAAGGCCTATTGTATAGGTAGGGAGTCAGGAGATGGGCATGAAAGGCTTTATGGAACAGGCAACTGTTCAGCTGGAGCAAAGCTGATCAGAATTCCTCTAAATTGCACCCAGCACTGCAGTGGGATATAGATCTCCATTTTGATTAATAGGTAGATTCATGCAGGAAGGGGCACTCCTTTCTAGGAAGCTTGAGAACTTGTGGGACAAACCCAGCCATTCCTTGCTCTGGAATTGAAGCCTCTGCTGCTGCCACTTTGAAATGAGCTTTGGAGGAAAGCACTTGGAATTAGTCTATGATCCTATCAGGGAAACCCCAGTCCCTGAAAGGGTGTATGTGAGTTATAGAGCCCAGAGAACTACTAGTCTGAGTGCTGAGTAAAAGGCCCCTGCAGGAGAATGGGGGACAGGGGAGAGCAGAAATGTTTACTATAATTAGTTCTGGGAGTAACAGAGCTGGGGGAGGGAGAGGAGTACAGCCGGCAACTATTTTGAGCACAAGTCCGATTGACAGGACACGTGTGCTGGACTGTACTGATCCCAGGGCCAAGTTGCCTGCCTGTGGTGTGTGGTGTGGGGGGGAAGGCCTGGGGCAGCAGGAGCAGGACAGCCAGACAGACAGGCCGGACGGGGTACCAGCACCCCGATTCCTCTCCCTGGGACACTGTCCACACTCCGAGGGCCATAGGCCAACCTGAGCCATGGGTGCTGAGAAGGAGGTGCTGGTCACACTGTCAGGGGGAGCCCCCTGGGGCTTCCGACTTCAGGGGGGGGCCGAGCAGAGGAAACCCTTACAGGTATCCAAGGTAAGGGAGAGCCCCTACATGGAGGTTTCAGGGAAAGGGGGAACTTGGGAAGGGTCATGTGGTGAAGTGGGGGGCGGTGAAGAAGAGGAGTGGGGTGGGTAGATGGGCAGGGAAGCATGCTGAAGTTTGGTGGGGGAAGTAATGTCTGAACACCGGCTCCTTGTGGGGGTGGGGGCTGTTAGAAAAGGGAATTCCTGGTTTCTGGTAGCGAAGAAAAAGAGCCTCGGTCTCAGTTCCCTGCGGCACCATAGCAGCAGAGGCTCAGGGCTGGCCACCCAGTCTCCTGGGTCTGTGCCTCTACCCCAAACTCCAGGAATGTAGGGAAGGTTCTAATTTCTCTCTAACTAAACTGATATGTGATGAGCTGAGGCTGTCATGCCAGCCCAGCCTAGCCCTGCCCTGCCCTGCCCTGCCCTGCCCATGCCTTCAATGCTCCTCTTTTCCTACGCCAGATCCTTCCTCACTAAGCAAGACTCTTTTTTTGGTGCTAGCCTGTCAGTTGAAGTTGTTACCCTATTGGTTTCATCGTACAGGCTTAATTTTTTCAACTGTAAAATGTGGGTAACAAGAGTTCCTATTTCATAGAAGCACTCTAAGGATTAAATGCAATAATACATGTAGAGTGCTTAGCACCATGCCTAACATTTAGTAAGCACTCAGTAAAAGACAGCCACCATGGCACACCTATCTAAACTGATATGTGATGAGCTGAGGCTGTCATGCCAGCCCAGCCTAGCCCTGCCCTGCCCTGCCCTGCCCATGCCTTCAATGCTCCTCTTTTCCTACACCAGATCCTTCCTCACTAAGCAAGACTCTTTTTTTGGTGCTAGCCTGTCAGTTGAAGTTGTTACCCTATTGGTTTCATCGTACAGGCTTAATTTTTTCAACTGTAAAATGTGGGTAACAAGAGTTCCTATTTCATAGAAGCACTCTAAGGATTAAATGCAATAATACATGTAGAGTGCTTAGCACCATGCCTAACATTTAGTAAGCACTCAGTAAAAGACAGCCACCATGGCACACCTATACACACACAATCCCAGTCTCCCAGAATCTGCAGGACTCCCTCCAATCTGGAATAATGTTCTAAAACACTAGACTATGTAGATAATAGTGCCTGGGATTCCAAGGCCTGGGAGTGAACTATTAGCTAGTATAGATATTGCCCTTATAGGAAAATCTTGGAAAGCCATTTCTAGCACCTGTCCTGCCCCCAATCCTCTCATTCGATGATTATCCTACTTCCCCTCATATAATGTATTGCTCCCTCCACTCTGTACCTTCTTCCCTCTAGGAAGGCCCCCTTAACTGCAGTCCCATGCCCCTCTCCACCCTTTCTTACACTGCAAATCCCTTCCACACATGGGTCCTTCCTGTCCTAACTCCGTTCATGCTATTCCCCCTTGGAGCCCTCCCTCACTACACTCTCTCCTCCAACACCTTCTCAGATCCGAAGACGGAGCCAGGCTGGCAGAGCAGGACTCCGAGAGAGGGACCAGCTTTTGGCCATCAATGGGGTCTCCTGCACCAGCCTCTCTCACGCCAGTGCCATGAGCCTCATCGATGCCTCAGGGACTCAACTCATCCTCACTGTGCAGAGGTATGGACTCCTCCCAAGGCGACCCACCCTGTCCCCCTGCTCCCTGACTCAGCTCTGTGTCTCACTGGCCTGGCTTCAGCAACTGACAAGTACCTATTTCTGCTCGTGTATCAGTGCTGGAGTATAGATGTTAGTGTAGGCCTCCCAAAGGGCTTGAATAGATCTGTACTTTAGGGATGGAGTGTCGAGTGGCTATCTGAGTGTGTGGGCCTCCTTCAACCCCTTGCCTGTCTCATTATCACATCTCCCTCGAAGTCCATTTCTACTCACAGTCCTCCAAGCACATTTGCCTCCCAGTTTGTCTTCAGATCTCCACTCTCACCAACCCATTGCACCTACATCTCCCTTCTCCCCTTACCTCCTTTTCCCATCCCCTCCAGATCTCTAACTGGCAGTCATCCAACCCATTTCTCAAGTTCTCTCATCTTCCGCAGGGTAGAGGATGAAGGGCCTTTGCGATCTCCATCCCCTGGTGAGCTTCAGGTGCTGTCACCTTTATCTCCGATGAGTCCTGAGCCCCCTGGTGCTCCAGTTCCCCAGTCTCTTCAGCCTGGGAGCCTCCTCTCACCCCCTGATAGTGAGGCTTACTACGGAGAAACAGACAGTGACGCTGATGGCCCTGCCACCCAGGAGAAGCCCCGCCGACCCCGCCGCCGAGGCCCCACAAGGCCCACCCCTCCAGGAGCCCCACCTGATGAGGTCTACCTGTCTGACAGCCCTGCAGAGCCGGCACCTGCTATCCCTGGCCCTTCCAACCAGGGTGACAGCCGTGTGAGCTCCCCATCTTCGGAGAATGGGGCCACCCTTAAGCCACCCCCAGCCGAGGCCCTGCTGTTGCCCCATGGTACCCTCCGGCCTGGCCCTCATCTCATCCCTATGGTGGGGCCTGTTTCCCACCCGGTGGCAGAAGATCTTACTACCACCTACACCCAGAAGGCCAAGCAAGCCAGTGAGTGCCTGAACCATCTCCCCCTAGCCGGGATCTTTTCATCTGAGCCCTAAATCTACCCCGTCATAACCATACCTTATTCTTCCCTTGTATATAGTCTTGGGGACAAGTGGAGAAGAGTGATGAGTAGGAGAGGGAAATAATTATTATCATGGTCCCCATTATTTCTGCTGTTGGAACTAGTGCAGGAAAAAGGTACAGGTGGTTCAACCCAACTCAGTAATAGGGTAAGTAGGGAAGTTGAAAAGAGACATGAATCAATGAAGGCTTTGCTTGTTGTCCTTGCTATAATTTTGCTAGGTGCTGGATATAGGGCAGGGAAGTACTTTGTTTTTTTAAAATATATTTTATTGATTTTTTACAGAGAGGAAGGGAGAGGGATAGAGAATTAGAAACATCGATGAGTGAGAAACATCGATCAGCTGCCTCCTGCACACTCCCCACTGGGGATGTGCCCGAAACCAAGGTACATGCCCTTGACCGGAATCGAACCTGGGACCCTTCAGTCCAAAGGCTGACGCTCTATCCACTGAGCCAAACCGGTTAGGGCCAGGGAAGTATTTTGAAGCAGGGCACGGCTACAGGGCCTCTTCAGTGTTAACTGCAGGCATAGAATCAGAGCAGCCTTTGACCTTTGTAAATTCAGTTAGCATTCCTGGGGACTGGGAGGCTACCAGATAGTCATGAGTCCCTAGGACAGTGGTTCTCAACCTTCCTAATGCTGCGACCCTTTAATACAGTTCCTCATGTTGTGTGGTGACCCCCAACCATAAAATTATTTTCGTTGCTACTTCATAACTGTAATTTTGCTACTGTTATGAATCGTGATGTAAATATCTGATATGCAGGATGTATTTTCATTGTTACAAATTGAACATAATTAAAGCATAGTGATTAATCACAAAAACAATATGTAATTATATATGTGCCCCAGGCCTTAGGCGACCCCTGTGAAAGGGTCGTTCAACCCCCAAAGGTTGAGAACCGCTGCCTTAGGAAGTGGTAGAGGGAGGGATCTTCAGCTCTTTATCTCAGGCAAGAATGTAGGCCTGGGCAGGAAAAAAAAACCCACCACGAAACACAGTTCCACTTATCTCAAGCTCTCTGCTATTTTTTTTTTTATTGCTAAAAGTATTACAAAGGGTATTACATATGTGTCCTCTCTGCTATTTTTGATGTGAGCTATAGAACACGGTCTAAGAGTGAACTTTCTCCCCATCCTATGCTTACCATGCCTCTCCCCAGCGCCCTTTCTCATCACTGTGGAAATGTCCGGATTATCCCTCTATTTCTCATCTCCCATTCCTCCCCTCCACCATTCTGATTCCTGATCCATAGAATTTTTGTGTCTCTAAGTCTGTATTAGAAACTAAAGATGTGACAGTTTAGCGTCTGGCATCCCTAAGAATGTCCCATATACCACAAAGAAATTCCAGATGCATGCCCAGGATCCCATGCTTATCCCCAATTCTCATTTTAGCACTCTCTCCCTTCCCATCATGCTGGGTGAGACTGGAGTTGGTGGCTCAGGGCTATTTTTAGTCAAGCAGACCTCATTGTCCAGTGGGGTGAAGTGGGGGGAAGGGTAGGCAGGTGCCCACGTCTATCACACCGGGGCTTGTGGAGCAGGCCAGAGAAGGGAGGGGGACAGGCTCCAAAAATAGCAGAGTGAGCTCATTCAGCTGCCAGCTCTGGGGACAAGACAAAGGGGCTTTAAAAGGCATGGGGGGTGGCTCAAGCTGGTCCAGCTCCAGCCAACACTGCCTTTCTCGGCATGGAGACCTTTGAGCCCATCGGCCAAGAGCCCCTCAGCCAAGCCAGCTCCAACAAAGCTCCAGGCCCAGCTCCTGAGCTCCAGGACCCATTCTATGCAGGTACTACCTTCCCATAGCCAAGGGAGTCCTGGGATCTGGAATGCAGGGGAATGCATCAACAGTGAGGAAGGGAGGTCTTTGGGAAAGGTCTTACTCCCTTATCTATTCCTCCTTTTTGCCTTCGTCTTCCTTCTTTTCTAAGGAAAGTTTCATGACCCCTCTCTCAGAATGGACTAATGCTGTGGTCACATGTCAAAGAGGTTTGTGACCACATGAGCTGTAGAAAATTCAAGGGGAGAGTGTGTGTATGAGAGAGAAGGGTGAATAATCCATGAATATATTAAGGTCTGTATGTGGGAGAAAATATGTGTAAGAAAGTGTCTGTATACAGGTGTAGCTAGTGACAAGAAAGCTTTAATAGTAATGGTTACTCACAGTGGAACTTATGGCTGCTGTTAAATGCTAAATTTACCTACATTATCTCACTTAATCCTCATAGCAACCCTATGAGGTAGCTATTATCATTCTCATTTACAGATGAGGAAACTGAACTTCAATGAAGTGAAGTAACTCTCCCCAGAACCAAAAACCTAAGCTGAACTCTGACTCCAATATCTATCTCTTGTTCACAGTTCTATTCTGTGGGATAAATGTGGGGATGGGCACATTGAGAGCTCTAATTAGAAGGGAGCTTGGTATCTTGAGTAGAAAGTAGATGGAATTTCAAGAATTTTTTTAGGAGGAACTGGGGATCATGGATCAGAAAGCCCAAGGCAGGGTCCCAGCAGCAGGGCAGCCTCTCCCACTTCCTGGCCCCACCTACCAGGCCCCACATGGCATGGGAAGCCCTGCCCTGCCTCCCCTTAGTATATAATCCTTTTGTGCCAGCCTGGTAGTGGCTGCCTGAGCTCTCTACCTAGAAGGCTGACCCCTAAGGAAGATTACTCCACTCGCAACCTCAGCTGGGGGGAAAGGTGAATAGATTTACTCAGTGACTTTGAGGCATAAAGATTTGGAGGATTGCCTTGGAGAGCAGCACTCTAGTTTTCCCTGCATTTCGGACCTGACGCTATTCCTGGCTGTGAGTAGCGGGATGTGAGGCAAAGCGTGCCTGGCAGTTGGAAGGCCAATGTCTGCTCTAAAACTTCGTTCAAACTTCTAGGAAAAGGACCTTTGCAGGGGGAACTCTGGGAAGAAGGGCCATCTGGAGTGTGCATGTGTGTGAATATATTTAAGTGACTCTATGTGTTTTTGTTTAAATACCTGTGTGAACTAGGGTATATGTAACCTCGGGTATGTGTAAATGAGAGAGAAAGGTACATGAGAAAATGTGCCCACAGCTGGCTTTTACTAGCCCCATATGCTTGTTGAAATGATGGGTAGTGGGTTATTCCTATGAATGTATATGATGTGGACGGCATGGTGGGGGTGGAATTGTGAATGAAGATCCTTGTTGCTAAGGGTCCTTTGTGTCCTTATCATAGGGGATAAGTGAATAAGTCCCAAACTTTCTGAGATCTCTGTAATGTGATCTCTGTGGTGGGAGAAAGGTGTCCCTTCTCATCTTTTGTCTCCCTGGGACCTGCCTCATCTTTCTGCCTGGGAAGTGACCCCCCCCCCCCAACCCACCCCTGCGTTGTCAGCCAGAAATGGAGGGAGGCAGGGGAGGAATGTGAGTGGGGTGGGTAAGAGCACATCTCTGGGAAGATAGCAGAGTAGAGGGAGGCGAGGATGGGAGAGCTGTGGTCAGAGTGGTGTCTGGACAGCCAGCTAGACTCTGCCTTCCTTCCAACTGTCCTTGGTTTCACCTTTCACCCGCCAATCGGCCCCCAAGTCAGAGGACCTTGAGAAGTCGGGAAGTGGGAGGGCCGAGGCGGCCGGCTGGGGAGGGGGTGGAAGCCTGGGGAAATGGACTCCAGGAGGCTCACGAGCTTTTCCCCTCCGGCCTCCCAGAACTGCAGCGGGCAGAGAGCCTCCAGGAGAAGAGCGTGAAGGAGGCCAAGACCAAATGCCGGACGATTGCGTCCCTGCTGACGGCAGCCCCCAACCCCCACTCCAAGGGGGTGCTTATGTTTAAGAAAAGACGGCAGAGAGCCAAGAAATACACCCTGGTGAGCTTCGGGTCTGCAGCTGGGACAGGCGCCGAGGAGGAGGAAGACGGGGTCCCTCCGACGAGCGAATCCGAGCTGGACGAGGAGGCCTTCTCCGACGCCCGCAGCCTCACCAACCAGTCCGACTGGGACAGCCCCTACCTGGACATGGAGCTGGCCAGGCCGGGCTCAGGCGCAGCTGAGGGCCCGGGAGGGCAGCTGACTGAGGCCTCGGGGAGAGGGGTCCAGCTCTGCCAGCAGCA